GGACCAGCAGTTAGTGTAATGACTATGTTGCTGGACTCCCACATAGTCGACTGTGGTTCGCGTCCCGGACCTGGTGGCTTAAAACTCATGCTGGGCGTGTGTGCGTGCGTGCCCAAGATCCCGAGAGGAGAATGGAAGAGAAGGGACTGCAGCGTGGCCATCCCCCCTGGAGGGTGATTTCTCGCTTTCTGTCTCTCTGTCTCTCTCTGTCTGTCTGGCGAGCGCACGCACCCTATAGCAAAAACCTCTAAAAAAAAAAAAAATAGTAACAAACTGAGCACCAAATAAGCTCCATGCATATGAATTGTGATGAGGACTGCAGTTGAAGTGCCAGGGGGTCATGTTCTATTTTCTGGGTGCCCAAGTGATATGCCATGACCAGGGGGACGCCTAAAAAAACCAATATGGCTCCAGCCCAGAAACACACTACCTAGACGGATATGGAAGAAAACGCTACCTTTCTTTCCTTTGTTTGTAATGCCAGAGAGCATGTGAGATTAATGGAGGGAGGCAGAGAGATTGAGAGAGAAAGCGAAGAAAAAGCCCAAAATGGGGCCTGGTCATGTGGCAGCCTCCTCTTCGATCCTCCAAGCCATCAGAGTCCTGGGCCCACATGCACATACCTACTGCGCTTTCCAAGCCAATGAGGCTGGGACTCAAACCCTGGTTGACTATGTGGAATCTGGCTTCCTTTGTGCAGTGCCTAATCTCTGTGCTATGGGGCCAGCCAGGAAATGCTCTTATTCTGCCACAGTGTTGCAATTCATTCTACTCCTCAGAGTACCAACATGAACTTTAGTCTAGAGTGTAACCTGCTCTGCTCATACTTGTTGAAGACTCTCATGAAGGGGTCTTCAAAAATATCATAGAAAATGTGATTTCAAAGCTATGCATTAATTTCAAAGTCTGTTGCACCAAAATAATAAATTTGTACTTTAATACCTTTTTCCCATGAACTTGTTTAATTTTTTTTCCTTCCATGAGAGACAGAGATAGACAGGTACCCCCAATAGGGTCCTCATCCTACAAATTACCCCCCGTCTCAGCCACCTAGACTGCACACTCAGGGAGATCCTGAGATGTGAACCCAGAACCTGTTCATGTGGGGGTAGTGGCACCATCACTGCACCACCACCTGCCCCTCCACAAACTCTCTGAAGTCCCCTTGTCATAGAGCTCTACTTCTTGCAAGATAAAAGCAGATTCTTTCCTATGGTTTGCAAGCCCCTCCTCTTGGCTTGCTTGGCGGTTCCTGTTTGTGATAGCAATTCTTTTTATGCCTTTGACCAAAGAATATTTCTCCTCTCTCTGGGAAACTTACTTGCCAAGCAGCCCACAGCTTCCCAAGAACCATGCAACCTCCCTCCAATGAGGAAGTGGCCTCGCCAAGCTAGACAGATCAGCCAGACCAACTCCTGGTCAGATGCAGCCACCAGATTCTTCTGCCTCAGAAATTCATGCCTGACTTGGGAGGCAATAGCTCTACTAGATGCCAATATGGCTCCAGCCCAGAAACACACTACCTAGACGGATATGGAAGAAAACGCTACCTTTCTTTCCTTTGTTTGTAATGCCAGAGAGCATGTGAGATTAATGGAGGGAGGCAGAGAGATTGAGAGAGAAAGCGAAGAAAAAGCCCAAAATGGGGCCTGGTCATGTGGCAGCCTCCTCTTCGATCCTCCAAGCCATCAGAGTCCTGGGCCCACATGCACATACCTACTGCGCTTTCCAAGCCAATGAGGCTGGGACTCAAACCCTGGTTGACTATGTGGAATCTGGCTTCCTTTGTGCAGTGCCTAATCTCTGTGCTATGGGGCCAGCCAGGAAATGCTCTTATTCTGCCACAGTGTTGCAATTCATTCTACTCCTCAGAGTACCAACATGAACTTTAGTCTAGAGTGTAACCTGCTCTGCTCATACTTGTTGAAGACTCTCATGAAGGGGTCTTCAAAAATATCATAGAAAATGTGATTTCAAAGCTATGCATTAATTTCAAAGTCTGTTGCACCAAAATAATAAATTTGTACTTTAATACCTTTTTCCCATGAACTTGTTTAATTTTTTTTCCTTCCATGAGAGACAGAGATAGACAGGTACCCCCAATAGGGTCCTCATCCTACAAATTACCCCCCGTCTCAGCCACCTAGACTGCACACTCAGGGAGATCCTGAGATGTGAACCCAGAACCTGTTCATGTGGGGGTAGTGGCACCATCACTGCACCACCACCTGCCCCTCCACAAACTCTCTGAAGTCCCCTTGTCATAGAGCTCTACTTCTTGCAAGATAAAAGCAGATTCTTTCCTATGGTTTGCAAGCCCCTCCTCTTGGCTTGCTTGGCGGTTCCTGTTTGTGATAGCAATTCTTTTTATGCCTTTGACCAAAGAATATTTCTCCTCTCTCTGGGAAACTTACTTGCCAAGCAGCCCACAGCTTCCCAAGAACCATGCAACCTCCCTCCAATGAGGAAGTGGCCTCGCCAAGCTAGACAGATCAGCCAGACCAACTCCTGGTCAGATGCAGCCACCAGATTCTTCTGCCTCAGAAATTCATGCCTGACTTGGGAGGCAATAGCTCTACTAGATGAGAGAGAAAGAGAGAGAGAGAAAGAGAGAACTAGAGAGAGTCACAGTAACAGAAGGTAGTGCCTTGACTGTACAACGTTCGTAATGCATGAAGAGCTCATTGTAGCCACTCCCCCTGGGCGACTAGCATTCTCCAGTGCTTTCTGCCCCGTCGGACACGAAGATCACATCTTAGTGCCTTCACTGGCCTCATGGAGCACCCAGTACAGAAGCAACCGCTCACCCCCGAAGAATGGGTGTAACCAGGATAACTCACACTTCATGGTCTTCACTGCCACTTTCTGAGAGCTTCCATCTGGCTGTTTAAGATTTCCTTCCATGACTGACCCAAACTCTCCTGCAAAGTAAAATACCATCTGTAAGGACATCATGCAAAATCTCCTGAGCCAAGGGACTGCGACTGTGCCAGAGCTGCCGTTTCCATGTGGGCCAACAGCTACCCACCTGCAGGCAGCCTGGGAGCCTCCAGGCCACCCACACTCACAAGGGGTACATGCCCTGCTCTAGACTGTGTGTCACCAAGCGGGCAGTTTCAGACTACGCTTAGCTCATCCCTTTGTGAAGCATCACAACTAATTTGCAAGAGAACATGGAAAATATCCTTGAAGTTCAAAAAGCATAAACTCTTTTTTTCTTTAATTTGCCAGAGAGTACCTATGCTCACCAGAGAGAGACAGAGAAACAGAGAAAGAGAGAGAGGGAGGGAGAACAGTCATGCTGCAGTCCCTTCTCCATTTCTCCATCCTGTCAGGATTTGAGGGCACACACCCACATGTGCCCAGTGTGTTTTTCAACAAGGCTGGGACTTGAACAGCACGATTGGTCATGTGGGATCTGACGCCCTTAGCCCCACAAAAGGATAAACTTTTAATACCATTATCATTCTTCCTAAGAACAATTTAACTAATTAAATATGTAATTGCACCTTTGTTCCTATTTAATTAGGAAGATGACGAGATCATAAAAATGAGAGGAATAAATTTAAAGTACATAGGAAATGATTAATGAATTGTATGCTTTTTTTTTACATTTAATTATTTATTTCCTCCATGAGCAAGAGAGACAGAGACAGAGAGACTGTCACAGCTAACAGGGTCTTGACGCCATGATTAACCACTAGCCTTGGCCGGCCCTGGATGATGGGCAGGCCCTAAGACTCAGGGAAGCGCTAGAAAGCAGACGTGGATCCTTCCCATGGGGATCAGCCCTGGAGGGCATCATGTTTTACCACGGCGCCACTGTACAGCCCCATGTATCACCTGCTTTTTAATGAAGGAAGGGAATTAATAGTTTTGAGGCCTATTACATGTGCCAGGCACAGTGAAGGCCTTTTTCATATACCGAAGTTGAATTTCAAAAGTATTTATTTATTTATTTGTTTGAGAGAGAAGAGGAAAAGGCAGAGACAGAGACAGGTATTTTTTTGACAGGGTCTTGCCATGCTTCCATGTCATGGTCCTCTTGCCCCAGCCACCAGTTAGTTAGGTAGGATTACAGGTGTGTGCAACTGTACCTAGGGCATTCAGATTGGTCCCGGAACCAAACCAAGGCCTCCCATGTGGCTCCAGCTGCCCAAGAGGTGGGGCCATCTGTGCACTGCAGCTATTGGGCCTTCATCATTTTAAATTATGAAACAGAACTCTGTGTATTATAATTCAAAATGTTAAAAATAGTATTTTATCTGATAAATGCATACTTTAAAATTCCTCTAAACTAACCCGCATGTTTAAAAAAAGAATTACTTTAACTGATTACCTTCGCCCAGAATTTTTCCAAGAATTAGAAGATTCCTGTCAATCACAACATCTTCTAGTTTATTTTGTAGTTCCTCGCTGACTCCCAAGCTATGCACTATAAAAGGAGCAAGAGTATGTATTTAAGAACTGCTAGTGTACTTTTTTCATTTGTAAGTCCTATAAAATAAGCCATTTGCATTTTTTTAATTACTAGAGGGAACATGCACTCACCAGAGAAAGGGGGAAAAAGCACCCCGCCACCCCAACCAAAGAAGCATGGTCATGCCACAATCCCTTCTCCATTTCTCCATCCTTTTGGAATCTGAGACACACATGCATGGGCACCTGGTATGTTTTTCAAGCCTCTAGGGCCAGACTTTTCTTTTTGGAGAGGTTTTTTGCTATAGGGCACATGCGCTCGCCAGACAGACAAAGACAGAGAGACAGAAAGTGAGAAATCACCCCCCAGGGGGGATGGCCACGCCGCAATCCCTTCTCCTCCATTCTCCTCTCGGGATCTTGGGCACACACGCACATGCGCCCGGTTTGAGTTTTAAGTTACCGGGTCCGGGATGCGAACCGCGGTCGACTACGTGGGAGTCCAGCGACATTGCCATTACGCTAACTGCTGGTTCCCTAGGGCCAGACTTTGAACCATACAGTTGACCATGAGCAATCTGGCTCCCTTAACCACTGGTTATGGGGTCAGTCTGCTTTATTCATTTTGTACCCATTATTTCTCACCCCCAAATGCCAGACATCACACTTAATTCTGCCATATTGAAAGTAAACAAAACAAAGGCTAGCCAGTGGTGGTGGTGAAGGCGGTTGGATTCCACATGGCTGACTGTGGAGGTTTGTGAGCCAGACCCATCAGCTTGAGAAACAGTCTGGGCATGTGTATGTGCACACCCCAAAGTTCTGAACAGAGATAGGGAGAAGGGATTGTGACCTGACCGCCTCCCATGGCGGGGGGGTAGGTAGGTTTTCTCCTTCTGTGTCTCTCTATGTGTCTCTGTCTCTCTCCAGTTAGCACACTTGCCCACTAGCAAAATGGAAAAAAAAAAAAAAAAGACCAAGAAAAATTAAAATGAATCCTTCAGGGAAAGATTGATACTGAAGAATTATAAAAATCAGAACCGTACTTCTCTCCCCATTGTAAAAGCAGCCAGCAATTAGATTCACAGGGGGTGGAGGGTGTGCCCTTGATGTAAAGTAAGGTCAATAGGCGATTTCCGGTGGATTATTTACTATTATATCCCTAAGGACATAGGCAAAGGAACCCTTCAGTGCCAAGGAAGGAGTCTCATAAACCATAGGAGACATTTAGAGTACAAGCTACTATTCTATCTATGGTATATGGAACCGTGTTTTAATGATAAAGTGTTGAATTAAGTACTTCAGAGACCTGGAAGGTCAGATCTTCTATAATAAGGTATGTAATAGACAAGGATATGCAGCACCAGAGTAAGTGTTGGCAGCCAGAGGAATTAACCAGGACATGGAGACTAATTCAATGAGTGGCAGTTGTGTGGGCCATAGTTAAGACATAGCAAGCTTTGAAAACAAAAATGTGGCTAATTCGAAAGGACATATTAACTCTTAGAGAAAAAATTTAACCTAAATGGCCGTCTAAAAAAGAAAAAAAAATTGTAAACGAATATATTTTTTTTAATTCCAAGAAGAAAGACATACAGATTGAAGTAAAAATGTATAGATTAGAAAAGTAAATAAATTAATAATATTCTTTTTTTGGGGAGAGGTTTTTCACTGTAGGGTGCGTGCACTCACCAGAGAGATAGAGAGACAGAAAGCGAGAAATCACCCTCCAAGGGGGATGACCACGCCACGATCCCTTCTCCTCCCTTCTCCTCTTGGGATCTTGGGCACACATGCACAGGCGCCTGGCATGAGTTTAAGCTACTGGGTCTGGGACTCAAACTGTGGTCAACTACAAGGGAGTTCAGCGACATAGCCATTACGCTAACTGCTGGTCCCAATAAGTTAATAATATTCTACATCAAATGAGATTTTACTCTATATCTACCCATGTTGCATCATTCTTACATCTGTCTGGGGGAGAAGGGGAACGGAATACCTAGAAGCATGAATATTTGGGTAATATTTGCACAGACCTTCTACACTGTTTCTGAAGTTATTCAAGAACACGTTATCTGTTTATCCCCGCTCTTCAACCCAGAAGGCCCTACTCCCTGATTCAGCAACGCCCACACCATAGTTGCCACAAAGCATGTTGACAAAGTGTTCTTGAGTTGGTTGTCAGGAAAACAGGAAATGAGGCTTGAGATTGCGTCCACTGCTTTGCTGTGTCCTTTAAATCCCCGACTACCCCATCTCTTCCCTTCTTTTTTTTTTCTGAGTTTCATGTCCTCCACTCTGGTCACTGAACCCCAGGTCCAGCTCCAGGTTTCCAATAAGCCAGCCCACAAGGGGTGTGCATGGCCACGTCTGATTATCTACTTTCTCGTTTCTAAAGACATTCTGTACATTAAAAATACCCATTCTTCGACAACTTTGGCTTTTGCTACAAATCTTTCATGGTGTTGTCCTTGGTTTACTCTTAATTAATCTTTTGCCAAAAAGAGAAATAAGTCAACTTACAGGTAAGTTCGATGGCTCGCCGACAGAAGGACTTTTTTGCTATGTAGTTTACAACCAGTTCAGAATCCTCCTCTGTGAACGCGCTCCTAGGTGAAGGAAAACAGACATTTCACTATAAAAACAAGGCTGCAAAGGCAAGTGCTGATTCCACCAGGATGCTACGAAGCTGGCTCCTTTTATTTATTTATTTTCATTAGTTTTCACTATACAGTATATGTGCTCACCAGAGAGAGAGAAAGAAAGTGAGAAATCATCCTGTAGGGGAGATGGCCACACGGCAACCTCTTTCCCCTTATTCCCTGGGATTTTGGGGATGTGTGCATATGCACCCCATGTGATTTTCAAGCCACCTGGTCAGGAACTCGAACCGTGGTAAACCATACAAAAGTCCAGCTCCTTAATCACCACACTACCTGCTGGGCCGAAGCCCTCTCCTTTTAAAGGACCCTTCTATAACAAAAACATTTCCCACTAGAAGAAATGTTTCTTTCCTTCAGTCTCTTTTAGGATTACATGACAATATCAAAACAACTCTGTCTAGGTACTATAAAACAGCAAATAATTGATAAGCTCTCGATGATCAAAGTTTAACAACCTGAACAACAAAGCAAAGTAGTATTGGATTATGAGTATAAAACAAATATCCAAGAGTCTATACCGGTATAGAAATGATTAAATAAATGAATAAATGTGGGAAAAAGACACACCTACTGTTCAGAAGAAGTCCAGGTATTTTATTAAATACTGCCATCCTTTAAGGCTGGGGGAATTTAAAACCTCACCTTAAGACTGGGCTGCTCAAAGTGACTGATTCCCCAAACAGTATGGAAAGGCAGGAAGAATAACTGCATGGCAGCCCTGGCAAAGCCTTCCCCAGCCAGGTGGTGAAGGTCCACATCCATAGTGATAAGTCACGTGGTCTGGTTGGCCTGCATAAGGAAGTGTTGGCCCCAGGGGATCCCAGGGCAGGTGTAAGGCAGGACACGCATCTGGGTGCAACGTGAGAACAGGGCCAATGGGAAAGGTGTAACAGGCTCATCAATAACAGCTGCATCGGGACCAGCAGTTGGCGTAATGGCTATGTCGCTGGGCTCCCATGTAGTCGATCGCGGTTTGAGTCCTGGACCTGGTGGCTTAAAACTCATTCTGTGCATGTGTCCGTGTGTGCCCAAGATCCCGAGAGGAGAATGGAGGAGAAGGGATTGTGGCGTGGCCATCCCCCCAGGGGGTGATTTCTCGCTTTCTGTCTCTCTTTCTGTCTTTCTGGTGAGCGCATGCGCCCTATAGCAAAAACCTCTCCAAAAAATAAACAAACAAATAAATAAAATAACAGCTGCATCAATATCACTGGGCAAAGCAGTTCTACCTGTTAAACTTACCCAAACTTTGTCTCCTGGACTCTCTTTCTGATAGCCATAGATATATATAAAACCAGCCCAATCAAAATAAATCCACAAAAGCAGCCAAGGACGATGAGCACAGGATCCGTGTTGCCAGGCGCCGGGGTGGATGAGGGGGCATATTCTACCCAGCCTGGTAAAACACCAAGGGAATCAATTCAGAACATCTCTTTAGGGTTCCAAATACATAAGAAACATCAGCTTGGAACAGGTTGGAATAATAGCCAAAAGCTTTTAGAACTTGCTCACTTCTTTGACCTTTTGTGATCTGCAAATGCACAGAGTCTTTACTTTGGGTAAGTTGAGACCATGCAGGATGGCCCTAATAATCAAGGAGAGGAGCCAGGCAGTGGTACAGAGGGAACGCAACACTCTGCAATGCTAGACCCACAAATGAAAGTCTCAAGTTCAAATCCTGGGGCCTCCCTGTATACTCTAGGTAAGGAAATGCATGCCTGTGATCCAGGCTGCCCGGCACGGGGGCGGGATTGTGGTGAGAATTCTGCTAGGGTGCCTTCCTCCACCTCTGTTTCTTTCTGCCATCCTTTCTCTGTCTCTATCTCTCTATCTCATAAAAGGAATTTTTGAAAATTTAAAAAAGATAAAAATCAATGGAAAACTGTCTTGATTTAATCTTTCTACAAAGTATACCTGTATCAAAACATGCTATACTCGGGAACCAGCAGTTAGCGTAATGGCTATGTCGCTGGACTCCCACATAGTCGACCACGGTTCGCGTCCCAGACCCGGTGGCTTAAAACTCATGCCGGGCGCGTGTGCGTGCGTGCCCAAGATCCCGAGAGGAGAATGGAGGAGAAGGGATTGCGGCGTGACCATCCTCCCTGGGGGGTGATTTCTCGCTTTCTGTCTCTATGTCTCTCTCTGTCTGTCTGGCGAGCGCACGTGCCCTGTAGCAAAAAAACCTCTCCAAAAAAAAAAAAAAATGCTATACTCCATATCTACACAGCTTTTCACTTGCAAATTAAAAATAATAAGAAAAAATCCTTGGGAGAGTTTGTATATATCAGTTATATGTGTACATAAAAATGAAAAAAAAATAGTAAAGCTAGTATTTAATTGGTGTGCTGCAATTTAAAACAGAAACATTAAGTGGGCCAGCCCTGTGGCCTATGGTTGAGGGAACCAGATCCTGCACAGCAGATTATGTGGTTTGAAGCCCAGCCCTGGCAGCTTGAAAGATGCTGGACTGCATGCCCCAAATACCAACAGGGTGGAGAAATGGAGGAAAGGGATTGCACGTGACCATGCCCCATCAGGGTGTGCTTTCTCCATCTCCCTCTGTCTCTCTGTCTCTCTGGCAAGTGCATATACACTTTGGTCATTAAAAAAAAAAAAAGAAGAAGAAGAAGAAGAAGAATGAAAGTGTTAGTTCTTTGTGAAAAAACCTACCGAGAATAATTTTACCAGTATTTGCCTTTTAGCAGTGTAACTTATGATACAAAGAAAATCTATTTTGTTTTAAAGAACTGTCCCTCTCTTTTCTAAGTCTTCATCATTTTCCAATGTTTATGTTTACTTAATTAATTTTTTAAATTTGCTAGCGAGCATGTGCACCTGCCTGAGAGGAGTGGGGAGAGGGGTGAGAAAGCACCTCCCATTGGGGATGGCCTTGCATAATCTCTACTTCATTTCTCCTTTTGAGATTTTGGGCACACATGCACGTGGGCCAGCATGTTTCTTAATCTGCTGGGTCTGGGACTCAAACCTCAAAGTCGGCCAACTGAGATGTAGCCACCTTAACCACCATGCCACTGACTGCCACTCAGTGTTTTATTTATTTGGACTCTCAATGTTGTAAGCCCTCTGAGAATTCCTGTAATGTGAATTTTAAGTTTTTTGCCAATGTCATTGTCTCAGGGGTATTTCATTCTCTTGGCCACCAACCACTTCCTTTATGTCAGTTGGGACATGTCACGAAGGCCCTCAGGCTACCATCTAGAGTCTGAAATGGCAGCAGCATCAACATCACACATTCATTTACATTCAAGTGTCACGTCCAGTACCACTTGTGCTTTCACCTTTGTTCACTAATCCCTCTTTCAAGGATCTGTTTTTGTAAAATGTCATGTGCGCTTGTCACCGGGAGCCAGGGAGGCAACACAGCCACATGGCTCTGCTGGACATGCACAAACTGAGTGACGGACATGCAGTGACCAAGCACCGATGGTCTTTGAAAGAAGTGACGTCAGTGGTCATGACCATGATGGGCATCTGTTATTTATGGAGTGCCTTGTGGACTGAGGAGCTAGCGCCAGGGTTACACTTGATGCAATTACAGTTACTGTATGACGGAACTAAATTTGAACCATATTGCTGGAGAACTGGTGTTATTTCAACGGCGGTAACCAAAGTGTGCGCGCATTAGAGCAGTGCAAAGAAAGGACAGCCTGTGTAGCAAAGCTTTTGAAAATGTTAGAATTACTGGCCAGCTCGTGGTGCGGTGGTTAGGGCAGCTGGCTTCCTCATTGCCGAATGTGTGGTTTGAGTCCTGGGCCTGGATGGCTTGGGAAACAGGCTGGGCACATGCGCATGTGTGCCTAGGTCCCAACAGGAGAATGAGGGAGAAGAGGCTGTGGTATGGCCATCTCCCGCGGGGGAGGGAGGCTTTCTCACTTTCTATCTCTTTCTCTCTCTGGTGAGTGCCTGTGCCCTATAACAAGTTAAAAATAAATTTTAAAACTTAAAAAAAAAAATTTAGTTTTTATATATGAATGTGAAGGCTCTATAGTCTTAATTTTTTTTTTTTGAGAGGTTTTTGCTATAGGGTGTGTGAGCTCGCCAGAAAGACAGAGACAGAGACAGAAAGCGAGAAATCATCCCCCAGGGGGGATGGCCACACCACAATCCCTTTTCCTCCATTGTCCTCTTGGGATCTTGGGCACGCACGCACAAGCGCCTGGAAGGCTCTATAGTCTTAAACTCTGATTTTTTAAGCTGTGCCTTTAGAAGAAGAATCTCACTGAATTTCTCCCGGGCGGAACCACTTTGCTGTTCCATCACCAGTTACTAATTGCC